GAATGTAATGAACGTGACTGAAATGAGTTTGAATTCCAGCCATGTTCCTTACATTCCCTCATTTAGGCTCTCAATTTCTTATTCTGAGCAGTTATTGATTACACCACCTGCACATCCCTAAGTAAACGGAAAAGATAGTATTTCTGTCTTGTCATAAAATCTGGATATGAAATTTTAAATGACAAAGAAAATTATTTGTCTTCTGTACATAAATTTGATAAAAGAAATGCCTGTAGATAATCTTTTCTAATCTTTTATATCTTTCATTAATTAATATATACACTTTGATGTTTATGCATATGTCCACTCAAAATGAATAATTATATAAAGATGATTGGATAAAAGGGAAATAGGAAATTTTCCGTATCCTATCATTCTGTTGGATTCTAATTCATATTTGATCCCAATTCATAAAGTTGAGTGTTTATCTGTGTGCGTATTTGCAAATATTATGTAAAACTGATGACAATGAATAAATGCAGTTTAGGATTTATCCATATACTCCCTCTCAAATGGAATATGGCACAAGGACGAATTTAAGAAGGGAGTCAAAAATAGTCTAATGCTCTCAACACTTCCCCTTGGGAAATGTCTTAGACTCCAGATATTAACCCTAGTCTTCCTCCATGGGAGAAGTATTACCTGGGGTAATGACTCCCTGGACTGGCAAGATATGACCAATTTTTGAAAAGAACAATCACAAATGGAGAAAAACAGATTGTTTACAACAATGTCGACTGAAAAAGGTCCTGCAGTTAATTAAATGAGCTATCATTAACCACTCTAAAATACATTCTGCATCCAAAGAATGTGTTGCTGGGTATCTGATGGGATTGTAATTATATTGTGTATTACAAGATACTTCTGCAAAATCAGATATTGAATTTTGACAAGTAGTTACCAATTAGACCAAATAAAGACTTCACATTTTTGCAGACCTAGCAGAAATTGATACAGCTTGGCTAGGATGCCCAACTATGCATGCCATATTCATCTGACCTTGCACCTTCAGATCACTCCTTATTTCAATCCTTACAAAATTTTCTTAATGGGAAGAACCACTCCATCACCCAGAAGCCAAGTTCTGAGAGGATGGAATCATGAAGCTCTCTCAAAGATGCAAAAGGTAGTGGATCAAAATGGCATATGGTTGAATAAATCTTTGTACAAATATCTAAATATTGTTTTTGAAATTCACTTAAAAACAAATTATACATACATACATACATACACACATTATATATATATATATATATATATATATATATATATATATATATATATATATAGATAGATAGATAGATAGATAGATAGATAGATAGATAGATAGATAAATAGATAGATAGATAGATAGATAGATAGGAGGAGGCACAGTGGAGTAATGGATAGCAGCTCGGATTGAGGAATCAGAGAGCTGAGTTCGAATTCCAGTCAAATCCATTACATTCACTTATGTGCTAATATCCTTCTCCCTCCCAGTTATAGGTAAATAGAAGGACAGATTGAGTTCTATAGCCTTGGGTGCCAACTGGTCTAAGAGAAGGATAACTCTGAATTTGAAACCTATGGAGGGTCGTTTGAGAACTTTCTTGCACATGGTGCACCAGGTCTCTGTATTCAGCTCTTCAAAAAGTGTAGTTGGTTCTGCTCAAAACCTTCACCACTATAATCAAATCATATATGCAGGTTGTCTGGCTGTTGGTTCCTAGGAACTGAGTTGCCTGACCCTCATACATGGTAAAAGAGTCTCTGGTAGGCACTGTTCAACAGCCTGCATCAATCAGCGACAGGAAAGTTCATGAGATATATATATATATATATATATATATATATATATATATATGTGAAAAGTGTATATAAATATAAATAAATATGTATATGTATAATTATTTATATATTATATGCGCGGTACTTATTAGAAAGCGCTCAATATCAGAGATAGAGCTAACATATTTGGTTGGATAGATGTGAGTTTGTGACCCTGGGTTTCACTCTTTAGCGACACTTCGGCGAAGGCGGCTTGCATTTGGTGCAATCAGATTCACTGGTTCATTCCTTCACGCGAATTCATATCGTACAGTGGATTTCATTCATTGTGTACATGCAAAAAATTAATGTTCAACGCAGTCCTTTATCCACCACTAATAGTTATATTTACCTGACTTTCCCACTAAGGCAGGATGTGACACAAAGTCGTTTTAACGTAGGAAGCCCCATACACATACGTTTGTCTGACAATCGCTAAAGCGTGAAACCCAGGGTCACAAACTCACATCTATCCAACTAAATATATATATATATATATATATATATATATATATATATACAGGGGGCGAGGTGTAAATTGTCACCATTTTATATTTTTAATTTCGCACATGCATATTGTTTGTTTTTTATTTTGCTGACTACAAGGTATAATAAGTTCAGTTAGGCACCATCTGTGAGAAAATGAGCACTATGACACAATTCACTTCAAATTTGGAAATGACATGCTGTACTGCAAGGCATTCATGCCGGAAGCTCCAATATGAACATTTCAGAGTGTTTAGGTGTCAATCTGAGGAGAGTGTAGAGGATTTGGAAAGATCTGGATGAGAGTCTAATTGTGATTACAACCATGCAGCAGCTCAGAAAACACACTGATTATTCTGACAAGAACTCCCAAATTTGTTGTTGAGGGCCTCAGACTCAACACAGAGGCCTACATCAAGTACCTAGAGGAGCTAATGCTGCTCTGGTGAAGAGGGTGGCTGCTGGAGGACACTATGTCTGGCAACAGGACTCTGCACCATGCCACACAAACAGGAGAACCCATTCATGACTCTCAGACAATTTCTGCAACCACATCAGCCCTTACATCTGGCCACCTAATTTCCCAGTCTGCAACCCCCTTGATTATTATGTGTGGGGCACATTTTAGCAAGATCAACAAAACTCTTTGTAACACCAAAGATGAACTAAAGGCAAGGATTATGGCAGCATTCACCAATTTAAACAAGGGGACCATCCAGAATAGTTGCAGAAGATTCTGAAGGCATCTGGAGACCGTGGTTGAAGCCAATTGTGATTTTATTGAATCAATTTACTCGTTAGTATTTCAAGATATTTTTGTGTAATTTTGGCAAGTATATTTGTTAAAAGGAGATATCAGTATTATTTTCATTTTTGTATAATTTAGACAATTTATCCTTCACATACCATATATACACAGCATTATCTGTTTCTAACCATGAACAAAGTGTTATCATATTATGAGTACTGCTGCATTGAAATGATAAGTTTAAATTAATTTTTTACCATTTTTTCCAGGAAATGGATTTATTGAAATATTTCCACTATTATTGTACAGGATAATTCACATAATATGCATGAATTATAGTCAACAGTATTTCGCACTTAGAATGTTGCAATTTTTATGAATTTTACCAGGTTTCATATTATTAGCCTGGTTATTGAAACTTTAAGAAATCTTATGTTGTTACAACTTATAATTACAGAATATGTGCAAAATTTACAAAAGCAGATCTTATAAAAACCTGAAAAAAGTGTCTTTGTAATGACAACAAAGTTATAAAGTCAGCATTAATATGAAATGTATACTTCATGTTCTGAAACTAATTTTAGAAGTCATTCATTCATTGATTTTGTGACTTGTTATATTTCTTTAAATGAAACTGACTACACAGTATCCAGATCAGCAATGCAAAGTTCATCTTTGTTGATAAATTGCTATCCACCAATGTAAACCTTCCTTTTCAGAATGCTCCACACTTTTTCAACAGGATTATGATTGGGTGAAAAAGTTGGCTGCTTTAGCAAACAAATGTCTCTGAAACCCATTTTATTCAGATTGTAGTGGTCTAGTTGTTTCAGACGTTGGAGTTACTATTATTGTAGTGGCTTAGTAATAAGAATGGACAATTCTAGATGTTTGTTTACAGCTATGTGAATAACATGACCACACAATTTATATTAAACGTAGAATACCACAAAGCATGAAATACAAGAAGGAACAAAATAATTTGAAAACAGAGCATTGTATTTATTTGTGTTTTTGATGTACATGCGTAGAAGTTAAAGATCTGTTGGATCTCTTAGACTGGGAATATGTTTATCTGTACTCACAAAAGTTGAATTAATTATTAAACTGTACTTTTAGAAAAATATTTCAAAGAGAAAAGTTCTTGTTGCATGTTTGGAAATGTTCTGTATGTTTGTAATGTCGGTTGGAAAAGTTCGTACGTACGTGCATGCGTGAATATGCTTTTAACGTCTGACCATCATGGTCGAGACGAGAATACTGAAGATCACATCTTCTTAGGCGAATGAAGAAAGGAGAGAAGAGAAAAGAGAATGAGCGAACCCGTGTCTGCTATTTATAGATAATGTAATCACGTGACAGGATCACAGCACATGGCGGGAAACTTGACTTGGTCACGCGCTGGAAAAATATTTGTATGTGTGTGGATTGCAATTTCGTTCTTTTTTCTTTATGGATATTGTAATAATGTTATGTGTTTCATCTGTTAGTCTTCAGACACTGAGTAAAAATGACTGAAACAAAGCAGATGACTGCATATATGGACTTTTACAATGTCAGCTAAAAATATCCTCGGCCAGCCGAGTGAAAGGAAATCCATGCCAGGGGTCAACACAAGCTTGGTGTCAAGGGGTTAAACAACTTATCTAGAATCATCTACATTATTGCACCTTCCTTCTTAGAAAAGAAAAAAAATGAAAGACACGCCTTTAAAACATTTTGAATACATATTTTTGTCGAAAATTTGTATTTATTTTTTTTCTTACTAAATTGTAAATTTTATCTTGAATATTATTTAAAACAATGCAAAGAAAAATTAATGCATATGAAATTATCTTATCTGAGATAAGAAAATAAAATGCAGATTCTATTTTTAAAATTAGCAAACCGAAATTTTACTGCTTATCCGTTGTTTCGTATGATTTTTTTTTATTTTGATTTTCAGAAGTAACAAACAAATATGGCGGCTAATAAACGTGTTGTCTATGTTGGTAAGTGAAAAAGCACGTTCTTGTTTATGTGATACCTACTTCTTATTTCCAGAAATTAAAGCATAACATATCCTGTCAACGAAGTATGAATGTCAGTTGGCATTTTAAAATCTTACTACTACTTCAAAACGTAAAATGTTTTTCATTTTCGAATTAACTTCGTCTTAGAATAGATTTTTAAACCAGTAAAAAATTGTCATTCCATTTAAATTTTAAAAATTCAGTTCAATAATTGTTCTTTACACTGAATTTCAATATGAAATGAAAAAAAGGTTACAAACTTGAAAGTTTTATGAACAGTCCCATAAAAAAAAAGAAATGTGTGAAGTTGCAAATATAGAAACTTGAAAAAATATACATGAAAATAATTGTAAATATTTTTTTAATTAGTTTTTTTTTTTTACTTTTTTTGAATACTTGTTCATACGTTCGGTTATGTAATTCATTTATTTTCCCTTTAGATTAATTTCATTCAACATAAAATTATGTGAAATTTTGTTTTTCTCATCTAGATACAGATTACTTTACGAGAGACATTTATTGTAAAAAAAAATATTGTTTGGAAAAAAACAAAAAAAAAACTCAGTTAGATTTTTCGTTAATAAATGCAAGTGCCTCTTCAAAAAATAATTTTTTTAAAATTTTGTTGAATAGATATTTACATGCGAAGTAAAAACAAGAATTTGTTAGCATTTTGGGAAAACACGAAAATTTTTAATTTTTTAATAAAAATAAAACAAACAAAACAAGGAAAGTCCAAGCAATTAACTTAACTAACAATTTAAAAAAGAAAAAAAAGAAGCTATCTTTTTTATGACAAATATACAAATTACAAAGTGTTTTCATTTAACAATAATTCAATCAATATAATTAAGTAAAAAAAAAATAAAAAAATTGTTCAATAATTCGTCCATAAAGAAAATTGGCAGGTATTTAAAATCCCATTTATTTGTTTAATTACTGCTCATTATTGTTAATATTTTTTTAATTCCTAATTTTACCTTTTCAGGGGGACTTGCAGAAGAAGTTGATGAGAAAGTTCTTCAGGCAGCTTTTATTCCTTTTGGAGATATTGTTGATATTCAAATACCTTTGGATTATGAAACTGGTAATAAAATTAGCCATTATTATAGCATGGGATTATTTTCAACTTTTTTTTTTTTAATAATGAGCTAATAAGCATAAAAATTTGTATTAGTATTTATTTATTTATTTTGGAAGATGTCTTCCATATAAATCACTATATATTTTTTTTTCCTTCATTCTTTTTTTTTTTTTTTTTTCTTTAGAGAAATACCGAGGATTTGCTTTCATTGAATTTGAATTGGCTGAGGTGTGTAATTTTTTTTTTTTTTTTTTTTTGTAGTGGTGGGAGCATAAATAATTTGTGATTATTATGTAACAATTATAGGATTGTGAAAAATAAAAAAAATTAATCTAATAAAGTACAAAATTGTCAATTCCTTTAATAATAAACATTATATTACTGAAATAAAAACGAATGTAAATGAATCCAAAATTCGAGCAGAAGTAAATATATCGAAGAAATATGGTAATAATATTCATTAATTACTGGAATTAACAATGCTTTAGATTCGATTTTTTTTTTAATTGCTGTAGTATCCATAAGGGATAATATTAATACAAACATTAAACATTTTGAGCATCTGAAGTAATTTCAAGCAACAGGCAATAATATTGTGTTTTATTTTATAGGATGCTGCTGCAGCCATTGACAATATGGTAAGTTGGATTTTCTCTTAACATTATTTTATATTTTTTCAGTTGATGCTTTTCTATTTGAATAATTTCTAACTAAATTTTTCATTAAAAACAATTTTTAAATGGGTTTTATCATGTTCAATTGCAACTGAAAACTGGTTTTAAATTTCTTAATTGCATTTTTGGCAAAGGTGCCCAATCAATCAGCTTGAAATCTTTTACTTTTATATGTTCTCTTATAAATCTAACATTTACTTCCTAACAAGACCAAAAGCTTTGCATCACTTTGCTTTACAGAAACTGAAATCTAAGTTAGATTTGCACTTTTGTAAAACTGTTCATATAGTTCAGTGGTTAATGCAATTCCACAATCTCTCCTGGTGTCGTATTTGCTTTTGTTTAATTCTTATGTATTGTATTTCACTGCTGTAAATTGACAGTCTGAGTGAAGTTGCTATAAAAATCAACTAAAATATTTAGATAAAGAGTAAATACTGGTCAAACTTTGTTTGCCAATGCCCAATATACTAAAATGGAATTAATATTGCGCTACTAATACTACTAGTGTTAAAGCAAAAGAATATATGGAAATAACTGCATTCTTAACAGCTTGATGCAGAATTATTTATTATCTAAAATCAAATTATAGTATTGCTCAAAAGTTCTGAATCTGACTAAGAAGGCATTAAAAAAATTCAAATGACTTTTTGGAAGTGGGTCAGGACAAGCACTTTTAACACCTCCCTGTTGATTCACCTCAATGAAAAAGGGAGGTAACTGACTTCATCACACCACCACCGAGATAGTGGTGTTGGATTGATCCATCTGGATTTCAAATTAAAAAGTTTCTAAAAAGGTTTCTGTATAGCCATATGTGAAATTTTGCAGAAGAATACATAGTGTTTCTAAATTTATGGGAACTATCTCTCATCCGATACAAATGAAATTAACCAGAACTGTAAAATAAGAGATGCTACTCAAAACATTTTTGGAATTTGAAAAGATTAATCACCAAATATTTCATAATTTTCTCAAAATCACTCAAACGGTAAATGAAGATCCATAATTCCTATTTTTTTTCTCTGCTGAAGCCATTTTATTTTTGTTTTATGTGCCCCACACTTTTAAGTAACATTTCATATATAATTTTTATTATAATTTTAAGTATTAATGTAACACATTTATTTTAGAATGATTCTGAATTATTTGGGCGTACGATCCGTGTGAATTTGGCCAAACCAATGAAGATAAAAGAAGGCTCAATGAGACCAGGTATGATGTTTGATTTTGCTTTCTATATTCAATTTCAGATTTTTCCTTGCACTTGGTTCTTAGTTTCTAACCCTAACAAACATCAAATAATAACTCTTATCTAAACTAACATATAAATTCTTTAAATTTTACATAATAAAAAATGCAGATGAAACTTCCACAGTTAGTTTATTTAAACTCCTTCAATTTTATTTATCACGCAAAGAATAGGATTTATTTCTATTTTGCTTCAATACAATAATTACACACCCTATTATGTTAAATGATATCAAATTTGTCATCTATAGTTCATGGTGGAATTAGAAGCTGTTTTAACCTATATATTTCCAGCTTATTAAAACAGTTATAACAAAAAACACTTTATATATGCTTTTAGTGAATAAATACATCAAAATAATTTATATTTTGTATGAATGATTACAAGGCAACAAACTAAACATTGTTTCAGTCACTTCATTTTTTGAATTAATTTTATAGCGAAATTCTTGTTAAAGCAAATACATTAGTAGTTTTGATTGCAAAATTTTAACTTGAAAAATATATGAAAACATAAAATCCACTGCTTGTGTCTTCATACTTTTAATATGACACTAAACATAGTATCAGTATGAAAATAATATTCACTTGTTACTGTTTCATAAAAAGTATTTTAATTACTTTTTGATCTTCTGAAAAAGAAATATCAAATCTATTTGAAGCTAAATTAACAAAAGTAATTATAATGAGATTGGAAGAAACAATATTTTCTGCAACTCTTATGACATTTATTTCAAAACATTTTTCATTGTTGATGTTACAAAGAAAAAAATAATTGCTGCTAAAACATACAAAATGCACATAAAACTAAAACTTTATTTTGTTTGATTTATTCTTTTGTTTTCTAATTAGTTTGGGCTGATGACAACTGGCTTCGAGAACATGCTGGAGAGACTGTAACTAAAAAGGAAAATGAGGAAGAAGAACAACAACAAGCAGCAGCAGCAGAAAATACAGAGATTGTCAGTCATTTAATGTCTTTGTTGCATTGTATAATATATAGAATTTTGTTAACACTTTTTCCATTAATACAGCTCCACCTGAAAAATCTCAATTTTTGATCTAAATTTAATTCAATTAAAAACTTTTTAAATTTTGGAACATATATGAATGCTATAAAGTTATGTAGTTAATAGTTTTGTTTTTGAATTTGTATTCAGTTTAATGTGTTGAAAAAAATAATTGAGCATCATATTACTAAGAAAATTAAGTTCATTATATTTTTTTAAAATGGTTAAGGAAATGGATTTTCTTGTTTGTCATTTTCGTTTGATGGAAGTTCTCTATCATATTCTTACCTGAACTCCTTCTCCAATGAATTTAAAATGTACAAATGACCATAATTTAACTCTAAAATAATATATTCAGGAGATTCTGAAAAATAATTTTTTTTAACAGGTTTAAAAATTTAAAAGCAAGGAATAAGTTGAGATGCTCCTGTATTTTTTTCATCATATTCAGTTGAGTGTTCTATAGCTGAAAAATTTTTTAGATTTATTTTAAAAAAAAACTAGATGTTCTACAGTTGAAAAACAATGTACAAAATTTCCTTTTGATAAATAAAAACAAATAATTTTTATTTGGCTTAGATTATCTGCTGTTTGCAATGGTAATTGGGAAAAAATGATGAATATTTTTACCTGCCTATCTAAAATTATTTTAATTATATTAAGAGTAGTTGAATCTTTGGATTAATTAAAAAACATGGTTTTGTATTATACAAAACCATCTTTTTCTAAATAGTTAATTCAATACTCTTTTGTGCTTTTCAGATTTGCATATAACAAATCTGTATTTTACAAATGTCAATAAATGCAAAATAAAATCCTTGCAAAGAGCAGATTTATTTTTGAAGATATACTTGCTTCTTCAGAAATCTGCCAATGATAATGCTAGAAACTTTGTTAAAGAACATGATTTTTGTCTTCATTTGCATTAATGCCTTAAAATTGATTCATGAAGTGATGATGAAATTTTCTCTAAGTTCCTCCAACTGTCATGAGATGTTGAATGTCAGGACTTTTTAAAACTAATGCTTTCAACTTCAAGTCTTCGGTTCCCTTTAGAAATCTGTATTTCTGTGAATATCACAGATTTTATAAAGGACGCATTTAAAACTTAATAGCTATTAGTAATAAAATCAAATGGTGTTTTACTAGATAATAATAATTGCACCAGTTAATCTTGAGTTTATTCTGTTATTTTATTAAAGTATGTGCTGCTTTTTCACTGATCCATTATATCATTAATATCCAAAACCATACCAAAATACATGTCATAATAATAATAGAGGTAAAATATATAAATTTGCTTTGCATTTATCAAAAACACTATTCTTGTAATGTGTGTTTTTTTTTTGTTTTTTTTTCTAGCAGCAGCAGCAGCAAAATGAGGAACCCCCAAAGAAGAAAATGAAATCAAATCCACAAGTCTATTTTGATATCCGAATAGGCAGTAAAAATTGTGGACGGATTGTTATAGAACTCAGAGCAGATGTTGTGCCAAAAACTGCTGGTAAATTTATTGACTTATTTACTTATATTTTTACTAAAACAATACACTCACATATATGCTATCTTGTTTTCTGTGGTGAATAGTCCCATAGAAGTAAGCGAGCCAGAGTGGCTTACATCTGGTGCATAGGAAAATAAGGGACTTGCATCAACATGTGGCATATGACATCGGCAAGTTTGCTCCTTGAAAATGGCATTACTCTCTCATCTAGTCATTCCAGCAGTATGTATGATAACAAGGGTTTTTGTACAGTTAGGCATGCTTCAACCAATAGCAAGTCGTGTTCTGATTGATCAAACTGGGTAACTGAGAATAAAAGCGAAGAACGCTGATTCATTGGTCAGTCGCAGTGTTGGCCTGATAAAAGATGACTGAAGCTGTGAGAAGGGAAGACAGATTTACATTTTGAACTGTTCAAAAAGTAAGAATGGTGGATTGAACCAGCAAAGTATCTTGTATGGTACGAGCGACGTCCGAGTAATAATCATTTAAGCTACATTTTCCAAAGATTTTGAGAACCTATCTTAATGGTAATCATGAAAGTAAGCTTGCAGATGCTATAATTTTAACATGGTAATAAAATGATTTGGCTCTAATCTAATTAGACCAAGTCACTACATTTATATGCAATTTTGTTTACCTTTTCTCTACCACTCAGCTGTTCACACTACAGTAGTGAGTGGCACTGCTATAATGCAAAAAATGTAAACAAGTCAAATTAAGTCTGTTGCTTTTACTCTGCTCCATTTACCAGTGTAATTTTAACATAGTATGTACCAACCCATGCAAATATTGAAAAGGGCTTCAAGCCTGCACAAGTATGTGAAAAGTGACACTGGAGAAGAAATGGCTAAAAACTACTGTATTAGATATTGTATGTAAAAGTAACAATTCAAATATTGTAAAATGAATCTATCTAAATATGAATTGTTAAACATGTAAAAGCAGAAATGATCTTTGATTGTGTCTTCCATTCCAAATTGAAAACTAGCTCCATCTGTGCCAAAAATGTATTTGCATATTCGTTGTAGTCCTATTGCTGATTTCTCTATTGTTTAATACATTTATGTATTTATAAGATTGAAAAGAGTAATTTTTGTTAATCCTGAGATTGGCTTAGAGTAACAGTCCTCCTCAACCTGATACTCAGGTGTCTTATTATTCAGCTTTCATGTTCTACCAAACAAGTAATGTACACTGTTGTTTAGCCATATTGGATATTTTCTTGGTTCTGGTATTATTTATCAGGATTGTCATGTTTCTTTAGAATAGTGTTAAAAAATTTGGTGCTCAAATATTTCACAATGCTTGATTCTTTATCAATTCATTTAGCATCCCTACAACAGATACATTTGGCAGAACTTGAATCTAAAGGAATATCATTAATTCTTATAGAATTTTAGCCTTTTTAAAACAACAGGAAATTCTTTAAAAGAATACAAAAACAATGAAACAAAGTTCCTGAAATTCACTTTTTGTATATACATGAAAATTTACTGTTGGTCTTTGTCATTTTCCTCTTTTTCTTTCCATCAAAGAACTTACTAAATGAAAAAAATAAAATAATTTTCTAATTAGCTTAAATTTTAAGTGTTCCTACTTATTCAGCTCATCAAAAATTCTAATGATCCTATCAGGTTGACTGAAAGTTTTTCTCTGATTATTTTCTCTTTAGAATTTATCTTTGTAATTCCATCTACTAATTCACTGCGCTGACAACTGAGCTTAAAATATGCCAAACTGCATAACCCCCTCAACCCCAGATGCAACCTGTGATGCCCAAGGATGGGATCTCAGTAGCTGGGTGGGCCATGTTCCTAAAGACAGATTGGGTATGTGAGCAGCAACACTCTATTTTGAACTTTACTTAGGCTAGACTTGTGGTCAGAGAAACCTGAATCCAACCAATCAGCAAAATTTTCATATGAATAAAGACAAAAGAAAAACTTATCTTAACTGACGTATTCGGTCTTCTCAGGGATTTTATCAAGGTATATATGCAAGGATTTTACTTTGTAACAAGTATTTATATACAAGAGCAAAAATGTTATTGGTTTTTTTCAAAATCCTAAGTTTAAAAACACTCCTAAATATTCATTAAGATAGGTGAAAAGTCAGACAAGCTATAGTGAACCTGACATGCCACAATTCAATGTCTAATAAACAAAAGTAAGAGATGTTTTGGAAATTTTTTTTTTTTTTTTTTTTTTAATGCAAATTAGTATTTAAATTAATTTGGTTTGGGATTAATTTATGTGTTATATATTTTGAATGGCATAAAGTTAAAGATTTAACTTGTTTTCTTTCAATTTTATAATATTTTTGTAGTCCTGTATCTCGACTTTGTAAAGTAGTAATTCTTTCAGGAATGGCGATATTGGAAAAAATCCGGGGCACAGTTATATTTCAATAAAATGTGATAGTTGTACTCGAGTTTCCTGTCTAAGTAAGTTACTTTTTCTTTTAATAAGTGGCATTCTTTAGATCAAAATTGTGGTTGAATTTATTTCTATGTATAAATAATGTATTTGATAAGTTGTATGTAAGATCACTTTTGTCTTCATAGATATTTTTTTTTAATTTCTGCAAGTTTTCCCAATGTATTGTAAGAAAAACAATTCTGGCAATTTATTTTATATACCTGCTTCAGAATTATTATTGTTATGGTTATTTTTTGTTCTAATCATATCCCATAATAGTTTTGGATGTGATTGTAATTATTTTGATGTTTATATTGGATAGTTTGTTTTAAATAGTGGATGTTATGGAGCTGGTAGGTAGTATAATGTATCAGTTTTAAGGACATATGGCACAGTCAATAAAGGCGTTAGTTAGATCCAGTGACAGGACCCAAAGAGTGCGAGTTCAATACCTGGTTTAGGAGGTGGAGAACTTGGAGAGGGAAATTAACAGGTGATAACTGATAACTGACATCCATTAGACATGGCATGTGGAACTAGAACAGTCTACCCCAGAAAACGAAATAAAGGGTCCAGTTCGACATTCCAACCACCTGAAGAAAGCCAGAGCATACAACGGCCGAAACATGATAAATATGGCAACAATGATGAGGACAATAGTTTGAATAATGTTAATATAGACAGATACAAAATTAAATCTATCATCACCTCATCAAACAAACATATGGCTACTGGTGATTAAAAACTCAGCTACTATATTGTAAAAAAATATTAATTTCTGAATATTTTAAACTTAAAGTAACTATTATTTTTTTCAAATAAGATCAATTATACTCTAAATTGGCTAATATTTCTGAAATAAAGTTTAAGAAAAGTATATTTTATTTTTGTAAAACCAAGAACTAACTTGTGTTTACAAATATCTAAAAAAAAATGTACGACTTTGACAATATTACTGAAAAAAAAAAATGAAAATTGATTCCAATCAATATAATTTTACTTTGAAATACACAAGTATTTTGCTGACTGGAAATAGTAAATTTAATCCTTTAAATTTCAATTAAAGCTAAAATGAAAGCTTCAAGAAAGCTTCTTCATTTTTAAAAATTAATTTTAACTGTAGGTATCATGATTTTTGTGGAGGTACCTACTTGAGGATCACACTTAAGTACAGTCTGGCTGTTTCTCTCTTACTTTGTTACCTGATATTATGAAAGGATCATTTGCTATGACATTATTGTTATAGCAAGAGTTATTTTCTCCTGGTTAGCAAAAACTTTTAAAGATTCCATTTCTGCCTTTTGAAACTAATCCTTAAATTCCAGAAGTATTTCTTATATTTTCATATTTAAATAACCTCCAAAAGGGTTGATGTCAGATCTAATCTAATTCCCTAAAACTTTTATTACAGTTGATTTTCTTTTAACATTTGTAGGTATATACTCTTATGAATAAAAACAAAAATCCTTTTCATTCCTATTGTTTTGAGGATGCTGTGATAAGACCTTGAAATATTAACAAATTTAACCATGACTCTTGCTAAAAGCATTTTAGAATATCATTTTCTTGTATTGCATAAGCTCAATTGAAATTACATTGAACATTGAAATCATTTTTTGGTATAGAAAAATTTTGTTGTCAAAATGGATAAGAGAATAAGTTAATATGGTTAATTACAATAACTATAAGGTGAAAAATGCACATTTTTATTTCTCAAAACTTTTTTTTTTTCCAGAGAATTTCCGCTGTCTTTGTGCACATGAAAAAGGATATGGCTATAAAGGGAGTACTTTCCACAGAATCATCCCACAATTTGTATCTTTTCATTTTCTTTTACTTTTTTATGCAAAATAAAATATTTGATTCATCTTATTCTTTCTTCCTGATGCAAAAAGATCAGTTTCAGATGATTAACAAATTTAGTGGAAATTTTAAACTTGCAAAAAAAACTGTCAAAAGGAGTGTGTTTTTCTCAACACCACTATTAGTATATACTACCTAGACAACCTTGGTAATGTTTGTTGCTTTAAAATGCTATGTTTAGTATTTTAATGATAAAAATGTTACACACTAAATAATGTATAACATTTTTTATTTAATTATAAATTTTCATGGCATCATGAAAATAGAAGTGTCTCCAAAATATTTTTTTCAGTTGTATTTATTTTATATTTAGTTTAAAAAATAGATTATGCGTTATCTTCCCTTGACTTCAATTTAGATGTGTCAAGGTGGAGATTTTACCAAACATAATGGAACTGGAGGAAAATCTATATATGGAAGCAAATTTCAGGATGAAAACTTTGTTTTAAAGCACACAGGCCCAGGTATGTCTACTCTTCCTTGCTTATTATTTATTATTGATAATTATTGTTTTGTAATGATTTTTTGTCCTATTTTCATAAGTTTAAAATAACCCCAATTATAGATTTCCATCATTATTACGGGTTCCAAACTGCTCTAGTTTATACAGCAAAAACCTGTCAAAATAGGGAAATTTCATTCAATTTCAACAGCTGATATTTCATTTATTTTCAAGTCTACTTTGATGAAATCGGTATGTAAACAAAATTAAATCTTTTCTCTTTTATAAAGATACAATTCTTTGTCATGATCCTTTTTGACTGGTACTTTTTCCACATTTTCAAAGCTGACAATTTCAATTGAGTTGTCTCCCCTACACATATGAAGATAATCCCATCTTAAAGGAAAATGATACCTCATCAATTTGGTGGGTTTAACATAGGGTCTGAAGTTGTCTTTCATAAAAAATTTCCAAGTTGAAAACTTTATGCACTCATACAACTCTAGGCACATGCAAATCAAAAAGCAAGTATACTCCATTTATTTTGGGTACAACAACAAAATTTGTATTGCTGAGTGAGGGACAGAATACCGCCAACTGAATTCCATTTTAAATCACTTATTTCATCAAGGGGCATTACAGTTTAAATATGTTATATTCCGTGCTAATAGGAATATATACTTGAAAAACACAGTGGATAAAATAAGTAAAAGTTTGTTGTAAAAACCAGTACAATAAGAACAAAGGTACAGTTATGCACAAGGTCATCAGAAGTCAATCCAGCAGTAAGTGCTACTATTGGTAGTTCTTGCGTAAGTCTGTGTCGTACTCAACAGATCCCAGCTAGTATATTTATCTACCCCCCCTCCCACAAGTGTTGCATGTGGCACAAGGCCGGTGTTATAGACAGGCGTATGGTTGCAAGAAAGAAATACGACAACAGCAGAAATAGATTTACGTGGTTTATTTCAACAGGAACGTGTAGATTTGGGACAGCTACCTTGTGGTAAAGTTCATAAGCCGGCTTCGGATCTAGGTCAATCTCTCATAGTAGTTCACACATGTTGACGGTGGTTGACGCTCCCCTGCTGTCAGCAGCTGAACGTGACAGGTCTCTATCCTGGGCACCTGTGGACTCCATTGAACTTCCGTGTGACCCCTTTTATAGCGTTTTTTTATGGCTTAACAGGCTCGAAAAACGAAGCGAGTATAATTAGGAGGGAAGCATTTTTATTGGACAAAAAATAGAGCACTTTAAATATTATTTTATTTTTCGACCGGAACACGTGTGTCGGGAACATTTGTAAAGAAAGATAATGGTCATTTTGTGACGGGGCTTTGTTCCGTTTACATCTGGTTCTCGCTCTTGAGTATTTGCCTGTAAATCAACCGAGATATGTCTTATTTTATTTTATAACACCGGTTTAACGTGGGTTCTCCAAGCCCATATGCTCGGCCAAAAATATTCCCTTTTGAACCCGTATAAATAGGTTCAGGGTCAGTCTACCTCCCTAATCGAGACTCTGCCCTTCGGCAGAGCCTCGCCTGGGTTCCTCTCTGCCCGAAGGCAGAGTTCGACTGTCTAGCTGGAACAGATTCCATTGACTTACAGATGATTATAGGCAGTTACTACCTATATTGTAGTCACTCATGGGGGTGACAGATTATTCTATTACATCAAAATATTTTTCTCATACTTTTTTTAATAATTAAAATTTAAACAGAATTAGTATTATAAAATAAAAAAATATATAAACTAGATATATTCTTAATTCTTTAAATTTTGCACTCCGGTTTGTTCATAAAAAAATTAAATTAACACTTAAAAATGTATCCTGTTTTCCATTTAGTGGTCATTCATTTCTTTTGCATTCATGACTGGGAATAGTTTCTCTAATTCTCAGGAATTAAGGACTGAATTAAAAATTTATTTACATTTTTGTTTTTAAAAAAATGAATCCAGATACATTTTATCAAAAAATCAAAAATCAACTGAATATGTTTTAGCCTGGCACATGGGTCCATAAAAAATTGAGATGTAATCAGGTAATTTTCAAAATGTAATCCGTTTCCTTTTTCTTTTCTTTTTTTTTTTTTCTTTTTTTTTTTTTCTTAATGATTATTTGTTTACTAATTCTAGGGATTTAAGTCTGTGACACTTGTGAAAAGGAAAAGAAAGAGTTAAAATAGAATATGATCTGGAAGAGACGAAAGTTTTTAAAATCACAGAATAACATAAATGGAAAGAAGAAAGCTGACATGTAAAAAATAACCTTATTGTTTAAGAAAAAGATATTTTCAAAGCGCTATCTGGAAAATTTAAACCCACAAGGATTTGGAGAAATAGTGAAAATGCATTCGAAGTCCGTTGAGAATTTGGCAAAACAAGGCTGAAATTAAATTATAACTGCTTACTAAGTGTGAGTTATGAAAACACATCTCTGCTCACCAGACAGAAGGAGAGATCAGTTGAGATATAATATTTGGTAATTTTTGAAGATGAAGGCAGAATTGAGAAACTAGTGGAAGTTGTAAACAAACTCAAGAAATAGGATTTATTCCAAAGAATAATATGTTACTAAGAGTTGAGAACACAGTCTAATCATGAAATTCACCTCAGTTCCATTCAACTTCCACTCCCTCAGTAAGAGAACATGCTATTTATCTTTTTAGATCAGTCCATCTTGTGGGGGTACTAGGGTACTCCACAACACAAGTAAAGCCCAACACTGGGAGAATATGAGCAAGAATTGCATGTACTCGATTCCTTGCAGTTTTGGTAGAGAATATAAAGGTAAAACAAGCTGCTCCTTAAAAGTAAGGCTAGAGGAACATCAAAAAAACTATAGTAAGAGGCAAGGCAATGAAATTGGTATGGCTGATCATGGCAGGAAAGAGATAATCATCAGAGCCTGTAGAATGGAGTGAAAATACTGAACAAGGAAGAACACTGGAGAATTAGACATCTGAAAGAATCGGAGCATATGCTAGTCTATGAGGACCTTCTTGGTAGGACTAGCATAGAAATAAATATAGGTACCTCCATGAAAATGCTAAAAAATCAGCATACCGTGATGAAAACATGCTCCAAACATAGTTTTATTGCCAAAACCTTTATTATTCAATTAAATATTAAAAAAAAATACTCTGATATTTGTCAGAGTATATTTTTTTTTTAAATATTTAATTTAATTTTTGATTCCTTTTTAGAACATTCAAAATTTTGATTTGAAAACTTGTTTTTCTTGTGTCAGCAGTTGTACTAACTTTTAGCATAGCAAATTTTAGCCTCTTTTCTTTTTTTTTTTTTGCAGTGGCAGACACATTGATTTGGAAATACTTGCAAAAATCAAATAATTGTTGGATTTTAATTACATTTTCATGACTTATTCACAAATGAATGAAAATATTTTTGAAATTTTTATTTAGAAAATCTTGGTAAAAAAAATTTTTTTTTTACATACGTTACCCCACCACTTACTTAATTTTATGAAAACTTGAGAAATTCATTGTAATTTTTAGTGACTATATTAGTTAAGAGCAGAATTCTTTGAAGAATTTAAATCACCAATATTTTTTTTTTCAAAATCAGACCACATCCTAACCTAAAAATCTATACTGAATCAAAAAATAAAAGACAATAAAACTAAGATATTATTTCATTAGAGAAGCTTTTAATTTTTTGATGAAGAATGAATTTTTACAAGATTTGGTTTCACTTTTTACAATTTTAAATTGTATAATTTATAAAATTTTTAGATCTTTTAAAATTTAATTTCAGTGAGATAACTCTTAGAAATTAGTAAAACTATATTTACTAATCATATGTTGTAAAGCTTATTACAATCTGACAACCTGAATATTTAAAAAAAAAAATTTCAATTTGTTTTTGTATGTGTGATGTACATATGGAATTTTAAAGTATGGATGATCAAACTTATAACATTATCGTTTAAAGGTTACATGTTTTAAGGGTTGTTCCTCCTCCACCACCACAGGAAGAAAAAAATTCCCTCATATGAACGTTATCATCTGCTCCATCATATTTAACTATGAACATGTTCAGCTGTCATTAAATTGATTAACACATCAGAAAAACAAGACCCCATAATTAAGAATGTTTGTATACAGCATTTTATGCTATAAGTAATATTTGTTTCAAATCAAATTTAACTTTAAATTTGCTAATTTTCCTCAAATAACATTTCAGAAATATATATTTTATTTTTGCAAGATTTTTAAAACCAAGAATTAAATTTTGTTTACAAATGTGTCAAAAATGGCCGTTTTTATTGATTTTACTGAGAAAAAAAAACATCAAATCCGATCATTATATCTGTTTGAAATACACCAGAGTATTTTGCTTACTGGAAATAGTAAATTTTAAATCCATTAGCTTTGAATTAAAGTTAAATGAAACTTTCAAGTAAGCTTTTTCATTTTTAAAAATTCATACAAACCTAGTCAGCAGACAGGTAAGGTTTAAGGCTCTAAGTTCACTTCAGCAAATTGGCCTAGTGGATAAAAGTATTGGTTTGTGAATTTGGTGACATAATGATTGTGAGTTCAATCTCTGGTTAGGGCAGTGTGTACTCAATGGAAGCAGCAGGCAATAATGAAACAGTACTAAATAAGAACTAGACAGTATCTCTAGACATGAACAGTTGAACAAGAACAGCCTGAGTTCAGTTCAGAATTCCATGTAATTTACCAAATTGATATACAGAGGAAGGCTGGAGAGCACAATGGCTGAAACAACAACAAAGATGAGGACAATAGTCCAAATATGAATAGCTCCTCATCTATGAAATCAATGTTTCAAGTTTGAACTGTTCTTGTATTTTCTAGGCATTGTATCCATGGCTAACTCTGGTCCAAACACAAATGGATCTCAATTTTTTTTATGTACAGATAAAACAGATTGGTAAGTGAATAGCAAGTTATATTTTCTGTTTTTTATTTTATTATTTTCTAGTTTTGTTACTACAGACAAAGAAATTTAAATATTATATTGGAGTGTTGCTGTTGAATAGGCCAGTTTCAATAAGTCATAGTTTCATTTGATTAAAACAATTCATTTTTTTACTGTTTTTTTTTTTCTTTATTCCCATTTCTCTATTTATTTGATTTTTATTCTTAAACTAGTGGCAAGAATTTTGTTCAACAGTTGTAGACATTTTGTCTGTCATATAAGGTTGCTTATTCTCAAGTCATGTCAGCCTTTAACTGTTTTATTCAGCAAGAAATCTTCAACACATTTTATATTTATATTATCTTCACTGTAAACTGTATATTTTTTACAAAAAAGTGATAAGATGCATAAAATGCTCCAAATGTCCCTTTCTTTCTTCTTTAATGTTAGAATAAAAGAAAATATGCAATTTTGATAAAATCTTTTAAAAATGTATATACTGCTATGACTATAATTATTACAATAGAGTCAAAAGCAATTTTAAATGAACTTTGTAAAAACTAAATGCTTCTGACAACAAAAACTTTTTTAGTTACTCAATATTAAACACCGAAACTTACTTAGTTTTCTGTAACCTAACATTTTATCACAGACTGAAATCTATCAAAATGTATTTTTATTTAAATAACTCATGAATATTTTTTTTTTTTAAACAATGCAATTAATAATCTCATGTTTTTATTTCCTTTTCTTCTACATCATTATTTGTTTATTTCTCTCTTTGCTATACGTAGGTTGGATAATAAGCATGTTGTGTTTGGGAAAGTCATTGAAGGAATGGATGTTGTGCGCAGAATTGAGGTATGGTCTCCATAAATAAAATTTAAGCTTTTAAATCTATTTTGCTAGTATATATTATTATATAAATTTGATAAAATTATTTTCTCAATATAAAAGATTATAAGAAATCTTTTTGTCTCATGATAGTTGTTAGTGTATGATATTTATATACAAATGTAATGACTATTATGTGAGAAAGGTATTGCAGGCTAATTAGGTTATTTTTTTTTTCTCATTTTACCAAGTCACAATTTATGTGTATTCCATTCCCCTCAAAAAGGCAAATTATCAAGTGGGAAATTAAGATAATTATATTTATATACACATGGCCAAGTGTTGGTTGGATCCAGTGACTTGACCCAAAGAGTTGTGAGTTCAATACCTGGTTACTGCAGAAAAAAAACTTGGAGAGTTGAGTTAAAGGGAGATAACTGTCATCCGGTTGAGGCTTGCACATGGAACTAGAACAATCTACCCTGGTGGATGAAATAAAGGGTTCAATTCAAAATTCCAATCACCTGAAGAAGGCCAGAGCATACAACATCGGAAACATCATGAATATGTCAATAAAAATGAAGACAAGTCCAAACAATGTAAATAATACTCATTATTGCATGTCAGTAAAATTGAGTTTAGACAAGTATGTGCCTAATAAAAATGAATGAGCACACATGTACTGACTTGTTTGGCTTGTGCAGTTTGCCACAACTGTCTAAATCCTTGTTGTATTGAGTGTCTCTTTTCTTAGTGTTATTGAGGAGAGGGCCTGTTATCTTCAGAAACTGGTCAGTTTACTGGTTGAACAAGGATGATGTATAAACCAGAATCTCTAAATGAAACTAGGGCACTTCACTGATTACTCATGTTGATGCATCTTTATTTATTTTTCAATTCCATTTACAGTAAAAAAAAAAAAAAAATTAATGAAAACATAAAATTGTATTTTAATTTCTTCTCAATTTAAACATTTGTACATTCATTCTGACTGACTGAATTTTTACTCATTTATTTAAACATTTTTATGTTATTGATAACATGAAATAAAAGATTTAATTAAAAATTGAGTTCAGACATTTTACTAATAGTAGTTTAATAACAACTTTCAAAAGCATTTACTTCACTGCACTTATTTGGTAGGAGATAAAAATATTAATTGTTGAAATTATTACTTCTACACATCATCAGTTTGTATTTTTGTTTTAAAAAAAAAAAATTAAATCTTAATGTTGCTTCAGATATTCTGTGACTTTTTAATTCCAAAAAGCTGTTTGCTCTCAACTGCTGCTACTGATGACTGTCTTTTTGCTCAACTGCTGCTACTGATGACTGTCTTTTTTGCTCTCAACTGCTGCTACTGATGACTGTCTTTTTATCTCAACTGCTGCTACTGATGACTGTCTTTTGCTCTCAACTGCTGCTACTGATGACTGTCTTTTGCTCTCAACTGCTGCTACTGATGACTGTCTTTTGCTCTCAACTGCTGCTACTGATGACTGTCTTTTGCTCTCAACTGCTGCTACTGATGACTGTCTTTTGCTCTCAACTGCTGCTACTGATGACTGTCTTTTGCTCTCAACTGCTGCTACTGATGACTGTCTTTTTGCTCTCAACTGCTGCTACTGATGACTGTCTTTTGCTCTCAACTGCTGCTACTGATGACTGTCTTTTGCTCTCAACTGCTGCTACTGATGACTGTCTTTTGCTCTCTTTTATCATTAATTTTGACTGCAACTCTTTCTTACCATTGGTGTTTCAGATCTTAACTTTCTCAGCAACTGTGACAAATAACTGAACTCTTATCTCTATAACCAATGTGAATATTTGAGACTTCAGCTCTGGTTTATATGAAGAATCAAGCATCACCTTTAATGTTACAGGTGTTCTCCAAAATACAAATTTTCTGTTTTTATGAGTCTGAATTTTCACTGCACATCCTTTCTTCAACCTGTCAACACCTATTAAGTTCTCAGGATAAAGAAACAAAAAGGGCAAAAACCAATGATACTATTTCTTTTGTAGAGTAATAGTGACCCAATTCTCTGTTTTTCATTTTTTTCCAACCAAAGTTGTATAAACACATCCCAATTTCATAAATGTTGAATATACTATTTTAGCATACTAGAGGAAGGATGATGAGAAATTAATATATTCTCTGTTAAATCTGGAGATAAGCATATTTTTCAGTTTCCCAGCAAAGTCTTGGTTTGCACATTCCATCCCAATAAATGTTTGACCTTTGAGGTTACTCAAAAGTTAGTTCCCTAGCCAGGTTTTGACTGATACATTCTATTCTGATTAATGTTTGATCTTTGGGGTTACTCTAAAAGTATACTTCTATTAATGTAAATTCATAGTCTTGCTTTCAATAAGTTACTTCTTTCATTTTACCTTTAGTAAAATATCAATTTTTCCACTCAGTAGACATTGTTTTATCATATAAGCTCATGATTACCAGAACTGATACTTTTTATTTGTTGCTATATAGACAGTAACATAAAAAATTCAGTGTTTGTCAAATGATGAGCTTATAAAGATGAGTGGCTGACTCTTGTCAAGGTCATCTGTTTCTAAATACAAATCCTGTTTGTTCAATTTGTTCTTTTTATTAATTAAAAAAAATATTAATATTTTATGCCAAAATTATAATCAAGGGAATTAACACTTTGTATAATGATTTTTTTTTTAATTCCTTTATAATATAAAATGTATAAAACTTATTGTATGTATGTAGTAATTTTTAGGTCTGAAATAGCCTTTCAAGTATTAAGTACTCATATGCCCACTCACCAACTTCAATTTAACATTGTTTAAAATGTATTTTATTTTCAGAGTTATGGTTCAAAGTCTGGAAAACCAACAGAAAAAGTGTTGATAGCAAACTGTGGAGAATTAGTTTAAATAAAATATTTTTAATAACAAAACAAAGTAATAAAATAATTATACAACATTTAAAAGATAAAATTTTAAGTTTTTGTTTTTTTATTTTTTTAAACATTTTACAGTTTTTTAAAATAGTCATTCTTGAAACAATTTATAACTTCTAGTTAAATGTAGTCATTTCAATGTGTGGTTTGTCTTGTGGTGGAAAATCTTTTTTTCTTCTCTCGCAAATCTCAGCACTTTAAAGAATTACAGCAATTATTTATATAAGAATTGTATAAAAATTTGTCCCAATTTGACTCCAACTTAGCTTTAGTTTGTATTTTTAGTTGTGTGGAAGGCTTTTCAGTCCAAGAGTATGTCACAGGAAAATTAAACATAGGAAAAAAGATAAACAAATACTTTTTCTTATTTGATAGAATTTAATAATTTTAAGTTTTAAATTAATGTAAATTTAATTTTATTTCTAAGGATTCTCCATTTATTTCACTGATTTGTTTCTAGAATTAATTTGAATGATGTTATGAGCACAGTGAGTTCTCTAAATTGCCAGTAAAGATTAAAGAATGATCAATAATTAGCTGTTTTTGGGGAGAGGGGTATTGTTTACTTACCATCAAGATTGATGTCAGAAATAAATTGTACATGCTTCTTAAGGTGGAGAGAAGGTAGATTTATTTATCCAAAAAATATTTACAATTTACACTTCTAAATATCTATTTTCAATATATATTCAATAAAAAATACTTGTTTTATACTAAATGTTCTAATAAAAATCTGCAATAATTGCTAATAAAATTCCAATTCATCGTTAACATGCATGTACATAATTTTTCAATACTATAGTTTAAATTCAAGGAAAATATTTGTAACTACAACAGTGCATCTTCATTTGTGCCTTTTCGTGCAAAGATAAATATCACACCTAGTAGAACATATTGTTTCAGAATGCAAGATCAAATTTATTATACTGTTAATCTTCATTCTGAAACAGAAAAAAGGTAATATGTTACTCCCTAGTAAATTAGATTCAAATAAATTTAAATATGAATCTACCAGATTTTCTAATGAACCAATTATAAATTAAATGATAAATAAATTCAAATATGTAACTACAATTAAAAAAATAAATAAAAACCAATTACAATTAAATATTGAATCGAGTAAAACCTTTAAAAAAACAATTCTTTATAAAAAGTTTAACTTCAGTTTCTATATGGTTTAGTTAAAATAAGGGGCAAGGGTTACAAACATTTAGAAAAAGTGTATTAGGTATATATCAAACAGATTGATACAGAGGTTTGCCTATTTGAAATATTCCAAAGCTAGGGTTCCTGACTACTTTTTAAGGTCCAACTTTATACGAATAAAAATTCCAAAGAAGCCCTTTTTCAAGATATGTTTTAAAAGGTAAACAAACTAAGTAAATACTATATCTAGAAAAGGTATATACTGCTATGGTTTTGAATAAAGTATGCATTTGCAAAATAACCTCTGAATTAGGTTAATTTGTTTCTGTAAAAGGCATGAAATCAATGAATGGTCTATTTCTGTCAGGTACTTCAGAATTTTAGTGGTTTGTTCTTTTTGTAATAGAAATTCATAGTAAGTCAATCTTCTAAAATCAGTTTCTAACACCACTACAGTTACATATTCAATGTATTTTATTGTTGGGGATTCTTAGTATCTCATAAAACCCGATTTTATATGAAGAAACTCTTAAGAAGGCTATTTTTTTTAAAGTCTATGCCAAAAATGTACACAAACAACATATAGATTATATATGATAGGTACTGTCACAGTTTTTAAAAAAGACCTCCACCCTCGCAAAAAAAACGCACATTTTAAATACGTTCTTTAATTTAAACTTTCGTTCCATTTAAAAGATAATAACCCAAATCTAATCTGAAATAAAAAAATTAATTTCCATATATAAATAAACTTTTTAGGCATTTTTAAAACATTAACACTTCAAGTAAACTTGCTCAATAATGGCTGGTGACAAGCTGTCTGGATATATTGGTAAGAAAAATGTAAAGTTTGGTGACACAAGCTATCCAACCTTGGAGTATTGTTTTTTTTTGTTGTTTTTTTTTTTTTTTGATAAATGCGGGGAGCATTTACATGCACTTAATATTAACTATTTCTTTTTATATTGATTGAAAGCTTTTCTTTAAATTTTTAAATACATTTTATTTTGATAGTATCCGTTATGATCCAGAATGATGATGATGATATTTCCAAAACAATTCTAAAAACAACCTGGCCACCAGTGATAATATATGATGATGATGATATTTCATCATTCTAAAATCCGAAACTTCATTATAAAAAACAACCCTATCACCACAAGCAAAGTCAGTAGTAAATAGAATACAGATGTATCTTCTTTGCTTCATAAAAACCCACAGTTAACAGTCTCAAGCATTACTCTTAACAATGGAATTCTTGGAAGAAGTAAAAACAAGTAAGTTACTTGTGTTTTAAAGAAACAAAAGAGACAATAACACTGAGAACATTTTTAACACACACGCACATAAAGCATGTTATTCAAAATGTCATGTCTTTGCATGATTTTGCCTTAGATGTCTGCAATGAAATTGAAGCATATTGCCGGTATCACTTTTGCAAGGGCAGCATTTATATAATTTTCTAGGGTCTGGAGCCTATGCTATTAATGTACAAGGTTAACCCTTCTCTCATTAAAATTTCTTGTGCATTTTCAGCCAATTTCCTCTTTACTTCAGCTTTGAAAAATGACAAAACGTTCTCAATCAGATTGAGCATGAGATGTAAGGAACTAGCCTCAAAATTTGATCATCAGAAAACTCCTCCTCATCTAAAACTGAATCAATTTTTGTGTGGCAAGGTGCATTGTTAATGACAGATTAACCATATTTTTCCTTGGTTACTCACAGGGCCTTTTTAACAAAATCACATGCCAAGTTACTTATGTACAATGCCCACCTGACTTCGATGTAAATTAGGCCCAAGAACAAAAGTACATAGTATCCTTTTTTAAGTGGATTTCAAAGATAATAATTCAATATTTCTACACAGATTTATTTGTACACATATGTGCCATTTTGTTCCCACTGCCTTTTGCTATCTTTGATTCCATCCTCCCAGAACTTGGCATCTTTCTATGTAGTGAACTGGTTTCAAAGGTTTTTACAGGTTTCCAGAAAATTTAAGTTTTTCCCATTAAGATAATTTTGTAAGGACTTAAATGTGATAATCCAAAGATGTAAGGAGAACAAGTGAATATGGCAGGTGTAATAGGACATTGCAGCTAAGCTGTAAGAATTTCTGCCAGATCTGCAAAGAAAATTACTTTATAGTACACTCACTGATGCAAGAAAACAAGATTTTTAATCAAAATTTTAAGTAAATATTCAAAAAAACATGAAGTTTAGTGTTGTCCTGATAGATGACACTAGGTACGTCCACAAAATCACTAAAACATCATTTTTTCTTTTTTTTTTTACTTGTGTTTCACTCCCTTAATTAATTTTATGAAACTTGAGAAATTCAACATAATAATTTTTAATAAATTAAAAGCAGAATTCTTTGGAGAATTTAAATCAATTTTTTTTCTTTTTTTTCAAAATTGGACCCTGTCTTAGCATAAATCTGCTCTGAATCAAAGAATAAAAAACTCAATAAAACTAACACATTATTTAATTAAAAAGCTTTTAATTGCTTTTATGAATATTTTACAAAAGGCATTAAGGATAATAAAGTCTAAAGAAAAAAATTTTTTGATGAAAAATTAATTTTTACAAGATTTGTTACCATTTTTCTTTTTTTTTTTAATTAGAATAATTTATATTTTTAAATCTTTTAAAATTAAGTTTCAATGGTGTAACTCTGAGGAAATATTGTTAAAACTATATTTACTAATCTTATATCATAAAGCTTGGTACAATATGACAATACTGAATATTTTTAAAAGAATTTTGAGTTGTTTTTGTATATGTAAAAGCATGCTAAATTTTATAGATATGATTGCACATATACAACATTCAGAAAATAAGTTAACAACTAGAGTAAATTTAGAATCAAAATTCTCTAAAATTCAATAAAACATTAGATTATGAAGAATACTTTCTTGAATTTTAAGATTACCAAATACTTAAAAGGCATTCATGTTATATTCCTCATTTATTTTGTAGGACAGCATTCGATAAAAATCTGTCAAGCTCTCACAGAGCTGTTAAAAAGTTGTCAACATAAATAAACTGCTGTTGTGTTAAAAAATGTATTTCTGTGATGTTTTAAACTTTAAAAAATATTGTTTCAAATCAGATTAATTATACTTTAAATCAGTTCAATTCCTCAAATAAAGTTTCAAAAGAGTATATTTTGTTTTTAAAAAGATTTACATTTTTATAACAGTTTGCTAAAAATGACACTAAATTCAAAAATTTAATCAATTTAAATTAGTTTTGAAATACAGCATAGTATTTTGTTTATTGGAAATATTAAATTTGATCTTGAAATTAAAACTAAAATAAAAGCTTGAAGGATGATTTTTCCTTATTAAAAATTAATTTTAAACATTAGGTATCATGTTTTTGTTGAAGTACCTAGATGACACCTTTCTGATTGACCAAACCTGGACATTTTTCATTGATTGCTGCCTTTAATAAGTTCAAATGGAAACAGTACTTGTTTGAATTGAGCATCTGATTTTGCAGAAAGCTTGTAACAATCCAATCTCCAGCCTTCCAATCTCACCAGAAATACTCCATCACCATCTTTGAATGGTGAGCAGCTTTTTGGAGTGGTCAACAGTTGTTCATTTCATTTTCACCAGAACCTTTTTCACTCTACAATGTCATAAACAATTCATTTCTCATTCACCTGTGCTTGTTTTTTTCAAATATAGGCTATTTCGTGGCATTTGAGAAAGGAATTACAGATGAAAATTTGATCCATTTTAATTTTTTTTTTTTTTTGTCTGTAAAATTGTGAAGCACCCAATCATTGTAACAATTTGTGTATACAAATGTTTT